TCTCGGGGAGAGACTCTTGACCTTGAAACCCCTCTCCTGACTGTCTTGCTTTGCAATGACAATCCAGCCATGGCTGTCTTCCCTGTACTTGTTCAGGAGTTCTTCCAGCGAGGAAGCATCCACAGCCAGCTCTGCACTGACGTCATTGAGCCATAGGTCCTGGACGATTTTGATGCCCATGGTACGCAACACTGTGGGATCGAAACTTGCAACAAGAACATCGCACTGCTAGCGGTTAGTATCTCTCCGCAACTAGATGGTGGGTATCCGACTTACTCTACGTGTCTTCCAGAAAGCCCCAGTCTCCATATCAAAGCTCTTCGCTGGGGTCTTAGTAGGAGTTCCAAGGTACTCCAACATAGCCGAGCTGAGGCGATCCCAGCTCAAGTTGAATCCCACAGCATGTGTTTGAGAACGACTGGCCAAGACCTTGGGCCGGAACTCTTGAACCAGCGAATCATACCGTCCGCCAGCCGCGAACACATCACGCCGCTTACTGTCAAAGACGCACTGGAAAAGAATGCTGCCTCGGAAGAACTTATCGTTGAGACTCCCGAGGGGGTTCATGTAAACCTTCCGCTTGACATCAAAATTTTGCAGATAAGCCACGAGCAAATTGATGCGAGCAAAGATCGGTGCCAATCGCTCAGCAAATATTGTACCCTGCATAATAGCCCGTAGTCGTTTCTGAACCTGCTTTGGAGAGTCTCTGAAGTCGAACCGTGCCAGGTCATCCAGCGAGGTCGAGGCAACACCGATAGCCGGGGAGCGAAGCTCACTTCGAATCTTCTGCATCGTCCATTTCCCCACGTTCAGCTTGCTGATGACCTCCTTGACACGAGGGATTTGAGACGGCGTGATTCGGCAGAACTCCATGATGATCTGAAGCAGGTCCGAATGATTGATAACAAAACACATAGGGGAAGATCTCAGAGGAGGGAATTCTTCGATAATCTCATCCAGCACCTTGATTACCTCGGCTTCTTTCAAAGCCAGATCCAAAGTGTTGTGTGACACAATATCAAAGTCTACCTCCTTATGAGTCCTGGGCTCGCCTCCATGAGGCAATTCCCTGTAGACGGTACCAAAAGCGAATGTTTTCTCCAGTGAAGTATCTTGTCGTGGAATAGCACGCGCATTGGGCAGGGTGAGATCAAATGGCAGTTGAAGTAAGTTGCCGGAGGAGTCAAGCAGTCTCACAGCGCCGTTATTGTAGTGCTGAGATCTGGGGAACAGCATCTGCCTCTGGGTTTCAACAGCCCCATGGCGGCGGAAGATCGACGTCAGCTTCTCTTTGACAAGACCTTGAATCAGCAACTCGGTGGCGCCCGGTGTACCGCGAGAGTCCATATCCCAGGCGATGTCTTCAAACTTCTTGGGTGATTGAGAGAAGATGCCGGATAAAATCTTCTTATAGTCGGGAGAGTTTGGATCAGATAGTAGGTGCATGATCGCGCGCCTGAATGTTTCTTCTTCGACCTGCAGAGGAATCTTTCCGCTATGGAGAAGATCCGAGGCTGTAGGCCTCTCGCTCGGGTTATGGCTCAACAACGAATTAATGATCCTGCCCTGGACTACCTTATCCGTGTACTGGAATGTAGACGGCAGGGTATGGTTCGGTTCGCGTATAGCTCGCAATGTTTGATCGCGCTCCATGCCTGTGGATAAGGCATGACACATCTCAAAGAAGATCACACCGAGAGAATACATCTGTGCCCACGTTAGACCTTCTCTCGCTGGTTTAGTCGGGTTGCACTTACATCAACTTTTTCATTGTAGTTGCCGGTGATGCCAGACTTCATCTCGGGGGCAACATAGTAGGTCGTGCCCAGACTGCGAGTAAAGTTGCCTTCAAAATCGGCCGTGGTAGAAGAGCGCACGGCTGTCGTGAACTGGCCACTGGTAGCGAGACCAAAATCTCCAATACGGGGATTATTCGCCACGTCGATGAAGATATTGTCTGGCTTGAGATCCCGATGAATAATTCCATGGCCGTGGATATGGCTCAGTCCGTCCAGGATCTGCCGGAACAAGCGCCAGGACCGGTCAACATCATCATACAGACCATTTCTTATCAGATCGCGAAGGGTCTTTGTATGTCAGCATCAGTTGCATATTGTTAGGCACAACAACACGATACTCACATGTTTTTCGCAATACTCCATCTGGATGAAGAGCGTGGTAAGTACGGGCCTGCCCTGGGAGCCTGACCGCACCCGACTAAGCTCCTTGCCTGTGGCACTCTCGGTCTCAAACGTCGAGGGCGTGTCGCCTTTATCTCCATTGGACAGAGTTCCATCGTTATCCTCGTCACTGTCGGAGCCAAACTCAATCTTAGGATAGCCGCTCGAGCTGATAAAGTCAAGCCCGCCGGTACTATAATCATAGGCATGCGTGTCCCGACTAGCAAAGACGTCACTCTCCGTGGAAGAGATGGCTTCCTCGTCTACGTAATCATAATCCTCTTCGATCCACGCAGTATAATAACGTACTACGTAAGGATGATTAAGCCGGGACAGGAGCATAATCTCCGATAGTGTGTCTTTCAGGGCCGCGGTAGACTTCTGAGTAATCTTCTTGACCGCGTAAAAGCGACCATCGAGCTTATTCCTTGCCTTCACCACCTGCCCAAAACCTCCTTTTCCTAACCGCCCAGCTTCATCGAAATCTTGGTTGTACCGCGAGAAGGCAGGCAAGCCATTAAGGGAATCAAGACGTGGACGCCTCGGTAGAGAGATTGAATTCGAGGCACTGGTGCGAGCAATCAGGGGAGTGTCGACACGGAAGAATTCTGAAGGCTGCAGTTGGAAAGCAGTCGGCCGCTTCTTCGGATCGGGCCTGAAGAACTCATGCAGGAGATCCTGCAAAGCAGTCGATAACCCGAGCGTGCCCATCAGCGCATTTGCTGAAGTATAGCGCTGCAGCACATCCGTCCCGAATCCCATCTGAAGGAAGACGATACCCAGGTCCCAGACGTCCGTCTTCATGGTCAACGGTGCGGTCCCGTGTGTTAATTCAGGGGGCATCCAGAAAGGTGATTTTGACGTTGTGAGCAACCGCTTGCTGGCCGGTGAATCAGGAAGTGCCTCTTCAATGCCAGCCCGCAGTTTCACGATCGTCCCACCAGTACGAGTTCTGAACAATAGGATGCGACCACAATGAATATTGCCATGAACAAAACCACTACGATGGTAGAACTCCAAGGCTTCCAGCAGCTGGATTGTCCAGCTGCGGAGTACTTCCACAGGAACGGTCCCGACAATATCCAAGAACTCGGCCAATGTTCCCTTGTTCGAATACTCCTGGAGAGCATAGACAGTCCAGATGCTATCCTGACTGTCCTGCATGCTCAAGGGTCGGGTTATTTTGAACCCAACAAAATCCACCAGGTTAGGATGCCGTAGTTTCTTCAGGCCTTCCAGCCTGTCCTCACTCGAGCGCATCTTCTCTCGGAAAAGAAGGGGCTCGACTCCTTTCTCATCCAGGGAGATTTCTCTCAAAACCAGCAAAGGCGCATGGGACCGGTTGTCGGAGACGACCGGTCTCACGGTATATGTCTCCTTTCCTGGTCCGATCTGGAGAAGCGATTTGCCGTAAACCGCGCGGAAGACCAGGGTGGCCTGGTCCGTATCCGTCATAGCTAACGGAGGGTCGAAGGTGATCGCCCCCGGGATGTTCTCCACAGCATCCGTGTCCCCGTTTGCATCCAGTCCAGGAGTGCGACTTTTACGTCGGGACAATCGTGCCTTGGCCCGCTCTCGGACCTTGTCCTCCAAGAGCTGCTGGAGGGCACGCTCTTCTTCTGCTGTGGCTGCCTCCTGTTTCCGGATCTCTTCTTGTCGCTCCAGCTCGGCTCGCTGGTTTGCGGCGGCTTCCTGTTCCATTCGCTCCTCCTCTAAGCTCGGAAGATCCTTGTCTTGAGCTTGAGCCTCAGCCACATCTTCCAAGACGTCTTGAATGGACACCGCCAGTTCGTATATCATTTCAGAGCCGAGAAGGGTCTTCGGCTTATTCTGTACAATGTCTTGAATTCTCGATCGAGCGCCTTTTCGGAGGTCGTCTAAGTTTTCCAGGGATAGGTTGGGGTAGGTCTTGGGATAGGTGGTGGGCAGCTCGACGAGCAATACCAGGTGGACGTCAGGGTTCGACGAGGCTCGCAGATGAAGCTTGAACGCGACCTCGGTCGATTGCTATAGAGCTTCTTGGTCAGCCATGCATCGAGCAACATCAATGCGACAATCACATACCTGCCAGGCAGAGCGCCTGTGTTGGACCTCTTCAAAGTCATCACCGTAGATGGAGCGCAATGCTTCGACTTCATTCTGGTGGATCTCCTGATAATTGGTGGGGGCGACTACCGGCGGCGAGAAAGACGGCGAGTCTGGACGGAGTAGCTGCTGCTGCGGCGGCTGCTGCTTTTTCTCCGCTCGGGGAGAGCCGTGCTTAGGGGCATTGCTGAAATTCTTCTTCTGTTTGTGAGGCATAGCGGGGCGCTGGTCGGGCGGTGAAGATAGTGGATGCACCGTGATCGAGATTGGCCTTTGCCACGGAAATTAGTGACAAAGATGCAGCCGAAGCTGCAGCCCTCTATAGCTCAGTAGAGAACATATCTGGGAATTGGGGGAAAGAAAAAAAAGAAGAAGAAAGGGTGTAGAAGTATATGTGTGGAGAGAGAAAAAGGTAATTTGACAAGGGAAGGGAGAGGGGAAGGGAGGAAATGGTTAGTGTAGCAATTCAAAAGACGGGAAGAGAGGAAAAGAGCGGTAACCCGACAGCGAGTATATGAACGCCCAATGGAAGCGCCGCCCCGTCGTTTTTCCGCCCACCGCCTTTGGGGCGGGCAGCTCGTGACTTGGCGCATCATCGCCGTAAACAAAGCACAGCGTTCCACGTCAATCCTCTGGCCCCCCAATGGTCTTGTTGGTGCCATGCGTGTCTCGTTCAGTCCCATAATTTGATTGCTGGTGAATCGCCGGTTTCTCTTGTCCCCTGCAGACGCGATGCTGGGGTGGATCACTGGGCAGGAAGACCAGGTCGCAGGTGCGTGTGTTTCCCTCAGTTAGTACTTTCTGCTGGTCGCTACGAGTAGTATGGCTTGCTGCCCGCCCTGCTGCTGCTGCTGCGTGCGCGCGCCCTTCCCTCCACTGCCCTCCATATACGGCCCAATAATGGCCTTCCAATTCATCTGACCCCGTTTCCCACCCGCGCTCATCGCGCGCTGGCCTGTTTTTCTAACTTGTTTATCCCCATAGACAACTCAAGGGCCGGAGAGCCACCCGAGACGCCCGCTCCCGTGTTTGCGATCCGCGCTTTCAAGAGCGCCTTGTTTGGTACCCCAGGTGCCGATGACGACGAGTCCACCCACCGTACTACTACTGCTGCTACTACTTCTGCTGCTGTGAAGACGACGAATCCATCGACCAATCAGCTGCTGAATGATCACATCAAGTTGAAACCATCCAGTGGAAACACAGGGGATGCTTTCAAGGCTTCCAAAGCCGACTTGGATCTGGCTGTGAACGCGATGGCATCGCCTACAAAAAGTATCCTCGTAACACCCGGAACCGCATCCAACCGTCGCAAAACCGTGTCGTTCGGCGACGGCGTCGTCGATAACGAGCGCAAGCGGGAAGACCCGTTCACGAAACCTAACAAAACCCCCACCTCCTCATCCAACAACTTCTCCAGCCAGTGGTCGGCCAACTCTTCGGACGGAAAGTTCAAACCTCGCAGTAAACTGACGCAAGCCTTGATGGATTCGCGAGAAAAGTCAAAGGGCACGGGGCTCTTTTCGTCACAGGACCTCGAGCCCAACCCCTCATCCGAGGGGTCCAGGCCATCGCCAACGGAAGATGACAACGACGATACCATCAACCTGAACGAGCCACGGTCGCAGTCGGGGAAATACTGGAAAGCCGAATTTGATAGTTACCGGACGAAAACGACGTGGGAAATCAAAAAGCTTATCCAGTACCGCTCCGCCGCCAAAACATATGCCAAGAAGAAGGATGAAGAAGCGTCGCGACTCGCCGATAAGTTGAGGGAGGAGGAGATCAAGGTCTCTGAGATGGAGCGCCATGTTACCCATCTAGCCTCCACCATGGTTGGAGAGAGCGCCAATGCCGATAAGGAGAAACTGGTGCAGGACCTCACCAAGCAGACCGCGTTGGCTCTGCAATACAAGCACCGCGTCAACTCACTACGCAAACTGCTGGAACGGCACGGCGTTGTAGGGAACGAAGTCGATGATATCGCTGAGCAATCTGAATCCGAAAGTTCTTCAGAGAAGGCTACGGAAGAGCTCCGCAAGACCCAGCAGGCTCTGGACGAAGCGAAGACCAAGATCGACGACATGAAGCTTCAGCAGTCCGACTTTACCAAACTGCAAGACCTCGCGCGCAGCTCTGAACAGAAAGCCTGCGAGCTACAGAAGGAGAACGCGTCTCTCAAACAGACCCTAGCCCGGGTGAAGCAGGAGATGAGCAAATACGAAGGACGCCGGAAGGAGAAGGAAGCTAAGCTGAAGCAACGCGAGGCCAAACTGGAAACGCGCATCCAGGAGTACCGCGAACGGTTGAAGACCGCATCTCAGCAACATCGCGATCACGAGGAGGACCTGAAAGAGTCCTTCAACGAGGAACGCCGTCGCATGCAGGAGCAGATCGACCAGCTCAAGATTAAACTCACCGCGATCGAGAGCCTCCCACACACCCAGGTTCGAGCGCGCCATACCGAGAGCCCTCGCAAGAACTACACCGGTGTGCATGTCTTCGATTTCGGGCAGAACAGTCCCCAAAAAGACGCCGAAGACGACAACACCGCGGACATCGATGAGCCACCCAGTCCCAGCCCGCGTGCCAAAGAACGCCGCTCCTACCCATCCCGATACACCACCACCGCCGGCGACCTGGACCTCAAACGAGCCATGAAAGCCATGGGCATCACCGACGAAGACCAACTCGCCTACCTCGGCGAATCTCTCAAACCTCCCAAAGCCCGCTACCAAAACGAGCATCACGATGACGAAGAACCGGCCACCATCCCGCCCTCCTCTCCACCCGACTACCCCCATCATCACCACCACCCTCCACCCTCCACCCGCCCGCGTCCCAAACAGAAATCCACCAACACCAACACCTACCGCAGTCTCTACGCCCCAACCAACACAACCATGACCTCCCTCGCCCACCATCTCGCCAACAACCTCGACGACAGCCACCACGGCCGTCCCCGCGCGCGCCGCTCCCCCTCCAAATATAGCCTCGACGCAGTCACGGCCCTCCCGGACTCACACGTCCTCGACCGCGCCAAGCGCCGTCAAAGCCTCGCGGCCGTCGTACCCCGAGACTCCATCCCGATGGACCGCAAACTGCAGGCCCAAGCACGTCTCAAGCAACGAAAAGAAGAAACCCGAAAGGGAAAAGAGAATATGCGCACTTATACGAACCAAGCCTTATCGGTTCTTGAACCTATTTCTTAATGTTTTTTTTTTTCCTTCATCTTCTATCTCCTATATGTCAGATGGGAACAACGGCACGGAGTGATATGGACCGGATGGTGGATGGATGGATATATGAAAGGATCATTCTCTTGTCACGGATAGCTTTGATAACTTGAACTGAACTGCTCTTTTCCCTTTGTGTTGTGATCGAAGTGAATACCTCTCCTTATTGTCTGGTCTCGTTTGATCTGGTCTGATCTGATCTGTCTTTTGTTTGTTCGGTGGGTGGGTGGTCTGGTGATATGGTCTGATACCTGTTTTCTTTTTTCCCTCTCCCTCTGCTGATGTGAATGTCACTGTCACTCACTCCCTCACTACTTAGCTCTAGTCTCTAGCTCTAGTCCGTTGATCGTTGATCGTACGTAATCTTAGTTTTTATTTCCCTCCACACCTCTACCCACATCTTCTATATACATATATTCAACTACTCAATCTAGTCTAATCTCTCGTTATCACTATCATGAACGAGAAATAAAACCCAACCACATAACACCTCACCTATCAACAAGGTGTATACATATCATATCCAACTGAGTCCCATCTATCAATCCATCCATCCCATTCAAATCTATCAAATCAATCATTTATCATCTAAAGGATATAAAATTCATCTACATCATCTAAGCCTTCCCATCACAAAACGACACAACAGCCCACTTCCCACTCCACGCCCACTTCCTCGCCTCGTCGCCCCCACCATTGGGCAGCTGGCGGAGCTCTTCATCCACACCCTCGGGCAGACCAACCACCACGTCGGCCTTGCAGGTGCGGAAAGCCATTACGCGGACGCCGGATTGCGGGCCCAATGGGCCGATGGCTTCTGTGAAGGGGGTTGTGGGGGCCCATGCGGCCTGAATTTTTATTATATTGTGTCAGTGTTGAGATATGGAAGATGGATGAGGGGGAAAGAAGGAGGGTTTGGGGACGTACGTCGTTGGTCAACTTGCGGTAGTTCAAGTCACCCTTGAACAAGACCAATTCGCTCTCTTTCAGGTCGTTGAAGAGGTCCGGGGCTACAAATGGCATGCGCCAGTAACTTCCGGGGGTGGTCCAGAAGGAGTGTGGGCGGATGATTAGTTTTCCTTCGGCGTGGAGGTGGCTCCAGTGGTCGAAGAGGAATTTGACTTCGGAGACTTCCTTCTCCGACAGGGGGTCGAAGGTCTTTCCGGACTCGTCGGGGGCAGTGTAGAAGGCCTGCGGGTCGGAGAGGGCGGCGATGAGGGCGGCAAAGTCCGGGGGCGTGACGTCGGAGACGAACCAGGGGATATTCTTGGGGTGGAGGACGACGGTGGTTGCGAGGCCGGCGGAGAGGAGGTAGCCGGCGAGGATGAGGTCGACGAAGAGCTCGAAGCCGGAGTTGTCGAGGACGATGTCGACGCGGCGGTCCTGGTTCTTGCGGTCGCGACGGGCCTGGTGCAGGACGTCGAAGGAGGCGTTGAGGTCATTGACGAGGATGTTCTTCTCCGAGGCCTTGCGGGCTTCGGAACCCTGGAGCTTCTGGATGTCTTCGTAGGTGAGGGAAGTGAGGAGGGAGAGGTCGGTGGCGTTACCCCAGAGGCAGATCTCGCACATCTCGGAGAAGAGGATACGGTCGGATTGCTCGATCTGCTCTGGGGTCTTGCCGTCTGTGCCCTTACTGGCCTCCTCGGCCAGTTCCTTGTATCGTGCGGCGAGTTCGAGGACGGCGGGCCGGGAGGACTTGAAGGTGGACATCTTCTGGCGGGCGAACACGTCATAGCCCTTCCAGTGCTTGGAGAGGGAGAAGAAGGTGCTTAGCCGTCTGTCTGGTGGCTGTCAGCTGGAGTGTAGGTATGGAGGTATGTCAATTGCACGCACAGAGGTAGCATTCTGAGTAGAGCCATGCGACGTCGTGCCATGAAGGGTTTCCCCGCTGCTCCAGCTCCTGGTTGTACGCCGCAATGTCGGGCTGGCCATCGTCGGGGAGGGGGCTGTAGATGGTCAATGACTGTTTGATTGTTGAGTATAGGCGGAGGATGCTTCTCACGTCAACTGCCTGTTGTGCTGCAGCTCATATTTGAACGCTGCGAGGTTTCCGATGATGGCTTTTCCTTCCTGACGCTTCTCCTCGTCGGTCACATCGGCGACGCTGCGGTGCAGATCATCAATCGCACCAGTCTATGCGGGAGGAGTATTAGTCAAGGTTTATACTGTCATATAGGATTATTTCCAGCATACCAGAATGACGGGCCAGCGTTCATGGGCCGAGACGGAGGCGAAGCTGGACTTGTCGGAGGTGAGATACTGCGCTGCGGAGGGGAAGGCGGGGTTAGTGTGGCTGCAGAGAGAGGAGCAGTCAGTGTCACTCACGAGTCTGGGGTTCGTATTCCATGATGAAGGAAATAATTATGTGATTAAATAGATAGGAATAACTCAAGGAGAGAAGAAGAACAGAAGAGAGAGAGGGAGAGAAAAGAGTGCGAGCCAAGATGGGAGAAGAGCGAGAAACAAACACGACGTCGGTTGGGAATCGCGGGGTCCCTGCCGTCGGGATTCTCTGTACCGACAGTCACCTTTAACCCTCATTTCTCCCCCATGCAATTCAGTGGCATCTTTTATCTAATTGATGGATGCAGAACTCCGACTGGAAGGCAAGACGTACGACACTAAGCAATTCGTCCAACCAATTCCCCTCCCCACAGCCAATCCGACATCGCCAGACCTGCACATGCGGGACAACTCAACCGCAGAGACATACACCTAGATAGCCTTGAGAAGATATAACTAGCAAGATAGATAGATATTCCGCTATGCAAAGAGTTCACGAGATCGTCGTCAATCATCCGTAGATACATGGCCCTCGTACTGTGTAATCCAAGGCTTTCCGCATCTTCTCTTCTTCTTCTCATCTGAACGTCGCACATCCCATCCTGAATCGTGGTGTATATGTATCATGTCCCCGTCCGATCGGCGAGATTGACTCGCTCCCAATCCATCCCATGAACGCCCAGCTTGCAAAGCAGTCAAGCCTCTCACATCATCGACGACATGAGAGAGTTTTGCGCATACGCCTGGAATATCCACATTAGTCTGCCAGTCCGCACTTTTCGTCGAGATAATACATCACTTACCATCGGCTTAATATCCGGGTGAGGAACAGCCTCAAACACCTGGTACTCAAGCTTGAGCTCGGGTCCAATCTTGATAAAGGCACCCTTGTTCTCCGTGGTGTCGCAGTACTTCGGCGCAGAGAAGACAGTGATGCACCGTCCGTCGTGCTCGACCTCGTAGCCCTCCATGCGCACCTCGTGCGAACGGATGATCGCTTCCAGACCGTTCTTCTCACAGAAGCGCTTGGTGACATCCGGACCAAACTGAAGACCAACACCACGCTTGCTGGGTCCGCGACCGGGCGCGGTCTGCGGGTCCGTCCACAGCATTTCCATCATCAAGCCCTGCTGTCCAGGCTGGCGCTGGTTGTGGCGGTTCAGCTTGCGGATATCATCCAGCGTAGTGTTGTCATCCGAGAAGAGACCACCATGGAGCACAAGGTACTTGTTGCCGATCAACGTAGCCAGCGGCAGAGCCGAGAAGGACTCGGAGAAGACCTTGAACACCGTCTCATTGTACTTGGCCTTGCACTCGCCCTCGAAGCCATACACCTTGTTCATGTCGTCCGTCTCGTGGTTACCACGGTTCAGGAAGATACCGTTGGGGCGCAGCCACTTGTAGGCGTACAGCAGGAGAGCAATCTCCGTCGACCACGATCCACGATCCACGAAGTCGCCGTTGAAGAGATAAGCATGGGTATCGCTAGGGTAGCCGTTGAGGCGGAAGATCTCGAGGAGATCGAAGAATTGACCGTGCGTGTCACCGCAAACCGTCAACCTAGTACCCTCCTTAACACCAACCTCCACCATCGTCGGCTCCGCGTAGACAAGATCCTTGACGGCCTTGATTATTTGGAAAGCATATTTGCGATGGATCTTCTTTCCGTTCTTGAACCGCTCAATCATGTCATCAATGAACTCCTGCGTCATTTCCTTCTCCAAGCGCACACCATCATACTTCTCATCCACGACCATCGCATCGATATCCAGGTCCTCGAAAGCGGAGGGCGGGTCACCGACCTCGATCGCCTTTTCGAACTCGAGCCGACGAACGAGCTTCTCGCACTCAGTAAGCTTTAGCTTGGCATCGCGGTTATTGGGCTCTCTCTTGATCACGGCCTTGAAGTCTTTCAGGGCTTCCTTGTAGTGCAGAATAGCGGAGTTCGCAAGGGCTCGGCGCCAGTAGGCCTATCGACGGTAGGGTGAATAAGTCAGAGGCGAACAACACCAACAAGCAGCAGCAGCAGCAGCAGCAGCATCCAACGAACCTTGACATAGTTGGAGTCAAGCTCCAGTGCCTTGGAGGCATCAGCGATCGCAAAGCCATACGCCTCGAGCTTGATATGTGCCTAACCAAGAACCCCAGAACCAGTCAGTATCTCAACACAGACTTCCACCTCCAACACTGGATTGTCTCGTAGCGCCACCTACCTGAGCACGGTTACTAAAGAACGACGGCTCCTTATCATACTTCTCAATGGCTCTCGTGTAGAAATCTATAGCAGTAGGCCACTCATGTTCAGCGAAGGCCTTATTCCCCTGCACCTTGAGGGCAGTGGCGGCCTCGAGATCGGGGGAAGCCATGGGGGGCGTCGGGCGGCGCGCAACAGTGAAGCGTTTAACGAAAGGAGGGGAGGGGGGAGGGTGGATTTCGGGGCAAGAGAGCACGAGATCCTTTCGCAGTTTAATATGGAATGGTTCAATATGGGAAAATCAAGAAAAATGAAAGTAGGTAAATGAACCTGAATAATGAAAGGCGAAAAGAAGAAAATATCAAAAAAGTAAAAAAGTTCCTGAAACTTTTTCCTCGGGCTCACCCGTTCCTGGATTCAACTTCCAGCGCTTTTTAAACTCGGGTCGATGATGGATTGATTGATTGATTGATTTGCTTTCCCTTCCGTCACTTTTCTC